CTTTCCCTGTGCAAATGATACTCAGTTGGTTGCCACCAAAGCCACCCACTGCCTTTGATGGGTTCCATATCCACATAGAAAGGGAAGGTAAAGCACTAGGAAATCAGAGGGAGGAAGAAGTGATACAATCCAAGGGAAGGAAATGGAAACATTCTCAAATTTAAGTTTAGGAAGAAAGGCTGATGGGAGACAGTTAATAGCAAAAGAGAAATGATAGAGAGAGGCAGGAATGTAATTAAGCATCCAGTGTGAACTGAGACTAGGAAACAAAACGATCACATCGGATGAGAATCCACAGGTTTGGTCAGTTCCTAAGTTGCAAGTACTGGCCACTGTACACGTTTCACTGCCCACCATTTCCCAGGCCCAGATTACTGAAGGAAACCTTATATTGGGAAGACTTTGAACTAAAGGTCTAACCACCATCACAAATGATAAAACAGTCTGGAGACATTTTCTGTTTTCATTAGTTTTTGAAGCATGCAGCAAAAGAATCTTTCTCACAAAATGGCTACTTTCCCAAGAGTTTCAAGCCTGTGTCGGCTCCTCTAGCTATTATTTCCCTTGTGTGTGCTTCCCTGGTCGCAACACCACTCATATCTTTCCAAAGAGAAGCTGGTAGTAAAACAGAAAATGCACAGCAATTGGTATTTTTCACTATAGCTAACATATTATCGATTGTATTCACTTATCCAGCATCCTAGTCATTCTTTATATATTAGCCCACTAATTTATAAAAAGCAACGCCATGGCATTCAGTACATTTGAGTCACGAATAATATTTAAACTGTGGTTTGGTAGCTTATTATAGTTATTCATTGTTTGTCTTGTTTGTACAGTAACATACTTCATTGTATGCCTTCCAGTCTCACAATAGGGGTTGTAAAGCTTGCCAAGTTGTCAAAATTTGAAGTAACAATGACAACTTTATTTGCAGATTAGGGCATTAAGATCATGTCATTTTATATATGACATATTGTTCACCCCTATTTCATTTAGTAGAATGAGATACAAAATCTGTGGATTCCTCTAGACTAGATAATAGAGCAGTAAACCATACCCAGGTACTGTATAACACTGAAATCCTTAGTCATTTCCAATTATGTGAGTCAAAAGTTGTAACAGTCACCTGGAATCACTTGTGGGGTTTTTTTTTTAAGCTTCCTTATTCTAGCTTTTATTTGTCTGTTCCTCAATATATCCTATGGAAAATAGGGTCTTGTGACTCAGAATTCTTTTTTAATACCTATTTCTGTAGAGGTTCAAATGTGCTGTTATCTCACTGCACTGTGTTCTGTGGAAGGCTATTAAAATCACCAACTGATGATAACTTCAAAGGAAGTCATAAACAGCAGGGACGGACTTTGAAGCAATATAAAAATTATTTTTTATTTTTAAAAGTTCTAGAAGCAAGCAGATAAAAGAAAATATTACAAGTGTCAGAAAATATATCCACAGGAGTTATTTCTAACTAGAAATAATTTTTAAATCATTGTTTCTAGTTAGAAATGATTAAATATTATAAGGCATTTCTGGATATTTAATACTACTGCAAGGAACATACAGGATATTTGTTGCTGGTTACTTTTTAGCCCTTATATCTGGGTGACAAAGTTAATTATTGCTATTTTCTAACATTCTATTTCTACTTTGTGAATGTAGTTCTGTTGGGAAACCATACTTAAAAATACACTGTATATCCTCACCCTCATTTTATTGATTTGGACATCATATTATAGTTTGGTTATTTAAAACTATTGTGAAAATCAATTCAAACCCTTAGTCACCTTTTAATTATTGAAACTTTAGCTTAGAAGTACAATTGAATTTGACAAAAGGAAGGAGACAATATAAAAAAATACATTTTTAATGAATTAACTTGTCTATAGTCAAGGCCTTTCCAGTTTTCCATTTATATATCTTCTCTTTTTATGTATGATTTAGAAAACTTTACTGAACATTTGACAGTCGCTGAAGAAGCACACGAATTTGTTACAGAACTGAAGGAGCCTGGGAAATATAAGTTATCTGTGACAACCTTTAGTTCCTCAGGATCTTGTGAAACTCGAAAAAGTCAGTCAGCAAAATCCCTCAGTTTTTATATCAGTAAGTACCAAAGAAACAGTTTTACACTTACAGGGGAGCTAGAACAATGGAACTGGTGAGATTAATGACGCTCAGGCATCAATTATTCATCAAATCTTGGAGACCTGAGAATTCTTCAAGGTCAAGGGAGTCTCAAATCCAGGAAATGTTGAGAGCAGAGGAAATATATGTATGTTTAGTAGTCACAAACCTACAGATTTAAGGACGTTTTTTATTATTGCAGTCATTGCACATTTATTTTTTTAATATATTTTTATTTATTTCAGAGGGAGGAAGGGAGAGGGAGGGAGAGACAGAAACATCAATGATGAGAGAGAGTCATTGATTGGCTGCCTCCTGAACACCCCCTACTGGGGATTGAGCTGGCAACTGGGGCATGTGCCCTTGACTGGAATAGAACCTAGGACCCTTCAGTGGACAGGCTGATGCTCTATCCACTGAGCCAGACCAGCTAGGGCTAATTGTACATTTAATAAGCTGACCTTTCACACTAGGCACAACAAACTCTCAAAGGACATGAACAGTTTGGGAAATGTGACTTTTGTTTAAGGTTGTAATGACAATTGATATTGTTGGACTGCATGAAAAGCCTCATTAGAATGTTGAGCTTATAGAGCACAAAAGACAGACAAAGGTTGACGTTTAGTAAGACCTACGTGGTCACCATAAAGTTGGCACAAGAAGACAAAGCTAGAGCATCCTAAAAGGCCCAATGTCAAGTCTCAGGATGGCTTCTACTGATTCCATAAAAAGTAATAGCAAAGCGCGGGCCCATTTTTTCTCAGTGGTTAGAGCATTGGCCCATGAATCAAAGGGTCTCGGGTTCAGTTCCTGGTCAAGGGCACATACCTGGGTTGCAGGCTCAATTCCCGGCTCCGGGAGGTAACCAATCAAAGTGTCTCTCTCACCTCTTTCTCTCTCTCTTTTTGTTTCTCTCTCTCTTTCCTTCCTTCCCCATTTTCCCTTCCACTCTCTAAAAATCAATGGGGAAAAATATCCTCAGGTGAGGATTACCAAAAAAAGTAATAGCAGAGCAATAAGTAGCCTCTAGAACAGCGGTTCTCAACCTGTGGGTCGCGACCCTTTTGGGGGTTGAACAACCCTTTCACAGGGGTCGCCTAAGACCATCGAAAAACACATATATAATTACATATTGTTTTGTGATTAAGCACTATGCTTTAATTATGTTCAATTTGTAACAATGAATTGGGGGTCACCACAACATGAGGAACTGTATTAAAGGGTGGCGGCATTAGGAAGGTTGAGAACCACTGCTCTAGAAGTTGCACAAAGCCCTAGCTGGTTTGGCTCAGTGGATAGAGTGTCGGCCTGCAGACTGAAGGGTCCTAGGTTCTATTCTGATCAAGGGCACATGCTCTGTTTGCGGGCTTGGTTCCCAGTAGGGGGTGTGCAGGAGGCAGCCAATCAATGATTCTCTCTCATTATTGATGTTTCTATCTCTCTCCCTCTCCCTTCCTCTCTGAAATCAATAAAAATCTATTTGTAAAAATAAATAAATGAAATAAAAGTTGAACACATGGTGCATGCTTGTAACATTTTTTATGTAATCTGTTTACCAGAAATTTAGAGGCTAAAAATCAATTTGTAGCTCATCGGGATGTTAATGTGCCTCTTATCAGTAGAAAGAAGAACCAGGAGGAAATGGGTAAACATTGCTCTCCAAAGAGAATGACCACCATATACTTTATCAATATCTGCAAAGGCAAAATACCACCTTCATCAAATATCCTCAAAAGGGAGGGGGAGGGGGACAAGGGAAACAGGAGGAGGGCAGAGGGGAGAAATCAGTTTATTTAGTAGCTTAAACATGTTGACAATGTCCCATATAAACTTTTACTTGAGAAACTAAAAATGTTGCCCCTGGTAGAGGCCTGAAAGATCCATAAGTCCTGCAGAAAGAAGAGTCACAGTTGCCTTCCGCGGCTTCCCACGATGGAAGATCTTTGACGTGTGATGCCTTGAGAATGCGAACAAGGCTTACTATTCAGTCCTCCCCATGAGGCTAACAATGTTCCATTAACCCAAACATTTCCTTATCTGCTCATAGGGTCCCCTGCAAGTGTAAACGGCTTCCAGAAAACTCCCTCAACTATTCTGGCCATGCTGGCTCTTCCCTTCCCTGAGTTTCTACTGTTTCATAGCACACAACACGAGTGTGATATTTTTCTAGATTTATTTTATTTGTGTATACATCTTGCTTCTGGTACCAAACTATTCAATCCTAGCCTGGGTTTATGCCATTTTCCTGTTTATTAATTCTGTTGTACATTCAACGAATATTTATTGCGCCACTGCGTGGATTTGAGAACCAGACTTTCTGTGTGTGAATGCCAGCTCATTTACCCTCCCTTTGCCTTAGCTACCTTGTCTGAAACTGAGATTAATACTCGTACTTGTCTCACAGGCTTGTTATGGAAATTAAGGGATTAAATTTATAAACACATATACTAGTAGACTCAAAATAGAGCCTAGTAGGTATTGCATGCCATATCTCTTTGCCATGATCATGATTGTTTTTTCCCCTGCCCCAGTTATGGTGAACCTGAGACTAGCATCCCTTTCCTAACCTGGGTCCCAGCCTTGGAAGGCAGCTTTCTATTAAGGAATGGGGAAATAGTTCCCTAGCAAATAAAAGGAAGTTCCACATTGGAATTGCAATAGGGAATCTCTGTAGGGAATAATCACCGAAATAATTCCGGAGTCCTTCCTATGAGTCAGGCACAGTGCTAATCACCCCTTTAGAAACCCAAGAGAATGAAGCTAATGGGGGCAATTCTATGGAGATAGTTTATCATGAGGAACCCACCGTGTCCACAAATTATCCCCAGGTTTTAGCCAGCTTCTATAATTGAGCCAGCCTGTTGCCTATTTCTTTTCTAATATAGTCACACCCTGCCTCTTCCATCCTACTGTTAATAAATTTGGATTTTTTTTACACAACTATAGGAGAAGCTAGTTTGAATCTCAAAGTAATTATTTCTAGAGACCAAAGATCTTAGCAACAAAGAAATTATAAGCACTGATGACATGTCACCTTGCTACATCCACTCTTTGTTAAAAGAGAAGTGAATTCGCTCCAGGGAAGTATTTTCCAGAATTAACTCAGATGCACATAATGGAAATGAAGCTTCTATCGCTCACGAGGGTATTTTTGCTGCTGTGGCTGCTGTTTAGGTCAAAGATGAGGGATACAGTGCCCGGCTATAGCTGGGCAGACAGTATCAAGACCAGTCAGGCTGCCAATCTTTTTTTTTAAATATGTGTTTTAAAAATATATTTTTATTGATTATATAGACTAGAGAGGAAGGAAGAGGGTGAGAGAGAGAGAAACATCAATGATGAGAGAGAATCACTGATTGGCTGCTTCATGCACGCCCCACACTGGGATCCAGCCCACAACCCTGACGGGGAATGGAACTATAACCTGATTCATAGGTCAATGCTCAACAATGAGCCACGCCGGCAGGACCAGGCGCCAATCTTACTTGGAATATCTTCTTTAGGGCGAAGGGGAAACAACATGATTTTTAAAACCAGCCTTTTGTCTCAACCGTCTCAGGGTGACGCGTGCCTTGTGCTCTCCTTTGAAACCTTCAGGTCCTTCGGGAGAGTGGATGGAGGAGCTCACGGAGAAGCCCCGACATGTGAGTGTCCATGTTTTAAGCTCAACCACCGCCTTGATGTCCTGGACGTCCTCCCAAGAGAACTACAATGGCACCATTGTGTCTGTGGTGTCCCTCACCTGCCAGAAACAAAAGGAGAGCCAGAGGCTAGAAAAACAGTACTGCACGCAGGTAAAGGAAGGGATTGGCTGTGGGCTCACTCACCTGCTGCAGCGCAGCCTCGCAGGCAGAGCGGGGAGGCCACCGGGGAAGCTGGGCTCAGGTCCCTGGTGCTCCATGAGCCCGGACAGGAGCGGGGAATGAGTGTGCATGGCTCTGGGGTCGCAGTCATCTTCCTTTTCCCTCTGAGGGTGGCTGTCTCCTTTCTCTTTCATTCCTCATGCAGGAGAATTTACTGAGCACCTACGATGTACCAGGTACTAGGATAGATGTTGGGGATCTAGATATTTTTATGTGTCCTGCTCTTGCAGAGCTTATAATCTAGTGAGAACAACGGATAACTGAACATAGAATTACTGCAGAGTGTAAAACAAGGTCTAGGCTGGAAATGACCAGGAAGCCGTTCGCAGAAAGCGATGAGTTCACAGGGAGGAGCAGGGCCTGAGTAAATACGGATTGAAGCGAGAGGATTTGGAAACTGGTGAGAAAATTTTCCATCAGGGGAGTGCACAACCAGAGAGGGAGTTTGGGGCAGATTTTGTTTCTTTTACTTTTTCTCTCTCTCTTTTTTTCTCCTTGTTATTTTAAGTATAAAAGTAATGCATGCTCACTGAAAAAAAATTCAAAAATTAAAAAAAATATAAAGTAAAAAACTCAATAATCACAACTGAGAAGAGTTTTGTAGGATGTTAGGAGTTAGCTGAGCACAGAGAGGGCAGGTGGAGACAGTGAGCAGATCAGCAGTTCTGGGAGCGGCTCCCAGCTGTGTGCACACACCTGTCCGCAGTCCTGAATGAAGCCAAGCAGAGGGGCTGAGAGCAGGCCTCGCTCTCCCACGTCCTGAATACCCACCAGGAGCTGGAGCCCAATAGCATTTTCCTAAAACCTGGTTTTAGTACTACATTTTATTACTTATTCCATTTTATTATTTCATCAGATCAAATTTACTGTGTCTTGCTATCTTACAAAACACAATATTTACCTCCCTACAGGCAAAAGAAAAAAAGTATCAATTCATGCGGAGTACACTGGAAATATAATACTCAAAAAAGATGCCTGCTATATGAAAGCTATTTGGGATGCTTCCATTTATGCCACAAAAGTCAGGCATGAGTGAAAAAGGGGAGAATTTTTTAATTGATCTTATAGGCTCCCTTCCCTGAGCACACGGAAGATGATTGACTCTGGGCATTGATAGAAAATGTTTTTCTCTTACAGAACGTGACCTAGAACTTGACTGCTCCAAGGTACATTCTTCCTTGCCCCAACTACTATGCAAATTATGTATTTTTTACATGGAAACAGAAGGTTAGAAGTATAGATAGATAGTATACATTATAAATGTTCCAGAAAGGGCTTGTCTAAGTGCACTTTGATAGCACCTTTGTGAAGTGCAAACATGAAACTATTTAAAGATTATAGGCAAGGAGACCAATATTTAAAATAGAGAGTGGGAACTAAACCATTGTGCTAGGTGTTATTTCAATTACTACAAGAATGTTTTGAGGATTTTGTTATTGTTACACCCCCATCATCCATTATCCCACTATACACACACACACACACACACACACACACACACACACACACACACACACATTTTCAGATAAGTAAACATCAGTTCAAAAAGTCTCAAAAACCAACCTACAATCACGTGACCGTTGACCAAAGGAATCCAGAAGGCATTCTCACCAGAATCCGTCTGGCGTGGGCTTGGTTCTAAAGCAATCAGTATCCATAAAGAAAATAATACAATATTTCTTTAGTTTTATATTCAGTAGTTCTGTGACTACATTAGATAGAAAATTCAAAATACAGCTCAAAAATAAGTGTGATTCTAAAGACAAACACATATTCACAATTAATGTAACATTTCACTATTTTACAGTTTCATTCTCCCTATTTTGCCTCTACCATCAACTGTACCATAGGATCATTGCTTTATATCTCATCTAGATCATCCATGAGATTCTCTGCTTGTGTCCCTATTCCTCCTACAACTCCACTGATTTTTGTGATAGGTGGATCCTGGGTGAGATGTTAGGAATAAAACAAAATTGACTTGAACCTTAAGTTCGCAAAGCTCAACATCTGGTCTTCCATGTAGGTACATTGTTTTAATTTAATTTAAATTTGTCCTCCTTTCATATATGTTCTTCATATCGGGGTTTTTTTGTTACATGGTTGTGTTTCTATGTGACTGTTCATGGGAAAAGGAGTTTTGTGATATATCTCTCCTAACATCCATTTAGGCTATTCATTAATAAATGAATATATGTTTAACATAAAGTCAGTGCTCAATTGGTGTTACAGAAAGGGCCCAGTCAATTCTCTGAAGTCAAATGTGATTTTGGCATTTTCTCCAAAGACTCACACACAATCATAAATTTCAGACTTAAGAAGCATCATACAATATATGTATGTATATATATTTTATATGTGATGTGCCTTGGTCCATAAGTGTTTTTCGACAATTTATAGGAATGTGTAACTAGATGACAAAGTCAGAAGACAGAAAAATCAGTCTATTGGCTTTATAAATGAAGAAATGGTAGAGCTGTGAGGCCAACTATTTAAGGGACTTGCCTAAAGTTACACACTGATTAGTGTTAGAGTTGAGACCAGGACTTAAGTGATCTGACCTCCAGGCCGATGCTGTTTTAGTTGGATTGCATGTGCTACACTAGGTGGGGGGTCACCCTCACTGCTCATCTTGACAAGGTCAAAAGTAGTGACTAAAAGCTTCGAATCCAGTATCAGATCTGATTTTAAGTTACCAGCTATGAGTCCCTAGGCAACTTTCTTCATCTCTATGTCTTTGTGTCTTAATCCGTAATATAAGGAGAAGCATATCCTACCTCATAGAGTTGTACTAAATATCAAAGCTTGTATGCTTAACGCAGTTCTTGGAATAGAAGTGTGCAAGGAATTGTTAGCTTTTATTATTACACAAACCTAACTGGATTTTTTTAATCAAGGGAGGGAGATAGAGCAATTCTATGGTTTCTCCACAGAAAAACCTGAGTAATTGTAACAAATATATAGAAAAGAACTAGTGGAATAGGATTACATAATGTAGAAATAAGATCATTTCAGACTCAAAGGACCCCTCACCACCATCTACTTCAGCCTATTATTTAAGTTTATTGAGTATTTCTTATACTGTCTAGTCCATCTTTCCTCCCATTTCTTTAGCTGAGAAGGTGACTAGTTAGAGAAACATTAGGCTGAATATAATTCTCTGCAGTGAGGACTAAGCTAGTCAGGAGTGGGAGAGAGGAAATATTGGAATGCAAAGATGGGGTGGAAATTGGGGGAGGGGTATGAAATGATTCTCTAGAGAATAAAAAACATTATTTAATAAGGAGCATTTCCTCTTCCTACCTCCAAGCCGCCCCCAAGAAGATAAGAAGGTCTAGGATAAAAAAGAAGACATGGAGGGACAGAAGTGTAGATATAGGGTGGTAGCAAATATTCAAAAATTGGGGATGGGATTGGTGTTTATGATTTGTTAAGGTCATTTGCAATATCATTACTCTAGTTATTTTTTAGTATTATGATATATATATATATATGCTTTTTATTTTAAAAGTATAATTTCAAGTTGTCCCTGAAACTACTACATTCACATGGTTATTCTAACATTGGTTCTGAGGGCACCAGTGGGCTGGGAGAATCCTTCCAAAGGGCTATCGTCCAATCCAAAAGCATAAGCCTTTTTATGGGTATTTCAAAGTGCCCAGCTATAGCCATTCATTTTAATTAAAAATTGATAAATTACAAGTAATCTTCAAATGTATAATTTTCTTAGTTCATTTTTATGACGTTTAAGTGACTGTGATTCTAGGTACTCATTTGAATAGCCAGAATCAACTACTGCCTAAAATATTACCAAACCAAAGGAACTTTAACAGCACCCTGAAACAATGTACACTTTTTAAAAAGTATATATTTTATTGATTTTTTAGAGAGGAAGGGGAGGGAGAGAGAGTTAGAAACATTGATGAGAGAGAAACATCGATCAGCTGCCTCCTGCAAACTCCCCACTGGGTATGTGCCCGCAACCAAGGTACATGCCCTTGACCGGAATCGAACCCGGGACCTTTCAGTCCGCAAGCCGACGCTCTATACACTGAGACAAACC